AAAAAAAAAAAAACAAAAAAAAACAGAAAAAAGAAAATGGTCAATTTATATCAAGGGTGTTCTACTAAACACAATCCTATCAACAGGAATGGGAAAAAAAAGTACAAAAAGCAGGCAGGTATCATTACACACAACATACAGGCAATGACGCAGAGGCAGGAAGAGAAAAGACCATCCCCAAATTCATGGAGAGGCTCTTTCTTTGGAAAGGGTACTTTGTTCTTCTTCCCTTAGGCCCCTACAAAGAACAGCTCAAGTCAAAAGCCACGTGTACAAAGCCAAACTCAAAGCCCACAGGCATACAGCACCACAGACATGATGCCTTTTGACTCACTCTGGGACCCTTAATGTTGTTCCCAGGCTCAGCAGAAGGGTTTGCATCAGCTTGAGCACACTGATAGTCTGGGGAACTATAGTCCTGGCCCTGCCTTTGCACCAAGTCAGTCAAAAGCAAGTATCAACCTTAGCTGATTCCTGCTTTGATTTTCCTGCTCATTGCAAAAAGCTAAAAGAAACTTTGATTGAAATATTGGCTTTTGCTTGTTTTCAAGTCTTCCAAGACATTACACAGATGCATCAGCTGTTACTGAAGAAGATTCACACCCACAGTAAGCCTTCATTTCTGCACATAAAACAATAAATAGGCAATGTCTTTTCTTCATTACCAATGCACACACGAGAGACTGTCCCAATGGATGGGCTCTCATCCTTGAAGTCACTGGAGCAGCTCCCATTGACTTCAGAGAAGATCATCAGCTTCTTCCTGGATTTACCCTCTTGTTTCCAACACTTTTTAAAGCTTTATATGAGCTTCCAAACAGTTCAGCCTGAACCAGACCAATTTTAAGTCTCTTCCCTAAGTAGTTTTTAAGGGCAACACTCTTCCTCATCACTGAAGCAAGCTTTAGCCTCATCCTGCAGTTAGGAAATGTCACAGCCTTCAAAGAGTGTTGAGATTCAACTTCGCGTGACATCTCAGAGGTTACGTGACGACTGCAGTTGAAGAAGCAAAGGCACTTCACAACACAGAACGAGCAGCATGTGTGAATGGTATAAATAGCATAGTGAAAAACATCCAACAGTCAACAGTAACACGCATAAGACCCTGATTTAGCCATCCATGCAAGAAGTTTCACCCTGAGCTCTCAACTCCAGTCCCAACCATGCTTGTGAATTAAGTGTCTGAGTAAGAACCTTTTTTTCTTCCAAGAAAGCCCAAGATAACATTTATTAGCTTTGACTCCCAGATTGCAACATTTTGATACTTCATACCATGAAACTTTTGTTTCCAAATTTTCCTCCTTACTCTACGTCCTAAAGCCCTGAAGAGGATAATGGAGTTTTAGTCGCAAAACCACTCTGCCTGAAAAAGGGTGAAATATAAACAGCTACCCCAAGCTTCACAAAGGACACACCACATACAGGTCCACACTGGACTATCAAAGAGTCTGTTCTGGTTTCAGCTGGGATAGAGTTAATTTTCTTCACAGTAGCTGGTATGGTGCTGTGTTTTGGATTTAGTATGAGAATAATGTTGATAACACACTGGTGTTTTAGTTGTTGCTAAGTAGTGCTTACAGTAGTCAAGCATTTTCAGCTTCTCATGCTCTGCCAGGTGCACAAGAAGCTGGGAGGGAGCATAGCCAGGACAGCTGACCCAGACTGGCCAAAGGGCTATTCCATACCATATGACATCATGCTCAGTATATAAACAGGGGAAGCTGGCCAGGGAGCAGCGATCGCTTCTCAGGGATGAACTGGGCATTGATTGGCGGGTGGTGAGCAATTGCGTAGTGTATCACTCGCTTTGTATACTATTATTGTATTATTATTTTTGCTACTACTATTACTACTATTCTATTTTATTTTATTTCAATTATTAAACTGTTCTTATCTCAACCCACGAGTTTTCTCACTTTTACCCTTTCAATTCTTTCCACCATCCCAGCAGGGAGGGGGGAGTGAGTGAGCAGCTGGGTGGTGCTTAGTTGCTGGTTGGGGTTAAACCATGACAAGAGTCAAAGATGGGGACAAAACTTGATACTAAAATGCAGTGCCTCAATTTCAGCATCCCTAGTCACCCTGCAAGTTCCCTCACAAACTCAAAGCCTTCTTCCTACCCTTTTATTTATTCTAGTAAAAAGAGTTATTTTGCCTGTTGAAAATAGATGGAGCATTTCTACATCTTCTGCTCTCCCAGAGAGCAGGGGAGCCCAAAATGGATGGATGACCATCGTGGACGACCATCCCACCTGGCAGCTGGAAGTATTTCTAAGCCTGACCTGGCAATAGAAGTATTGGCAGGGAAAGGCAGCTCACCAGCCCCATCTAGTACTGCATACAGAGACTGCGCCTGGTGTCCAGCCAGCACCAGCTTTGCCGGGGTCTCTCCCATTTCGTGCTGCGCATGCACAGTGCAGGCTGACTTTGCTCATTCCTTCTCATCACTTGCTCTTCCAAGCGCACCTTAGCAGGAGTTGCAAGAATCAGCACAGGAGAGGAGATGACCTGTGCGATACACAACCGCAGCCCCTGCAACATGGGATACAGGCATCGGCTGCTCAGGAAAGCAGCCCCATGTTTTCGGCAGGGAATTGGTAATGTGAATTTGTGTTATTCAGCCAAGATAACTTCAATACTTTTCCCACTCTTCTAAATTACAAGGCACTTCCACAAGTATGCCTTAGCCTTTAGCATGCTCTTGCTGTCACTCTTAGCATATGCTGTAGTTTTATCATTGAAAACTCCAGTTGACAAGACTGGGAGCAAGGGGGAAAGCATGGGAAGATGTGAAATACTCTCCCTGCAAGAGATTTTCCTAGAGCAGACAAATCCTTATTGCTGACAGACAGCAAAAGTTTGCTTTAAACTCTGAATCCTTCAACTTAAAGCAAGCAATTTGGGTTCCCTCACAGATACTATAAGTACTTCACCAAAACACTCAGAGCACCGTTTATCAACCTGCACTCCCACCACGTTATGCAGAAATAAGTGCACTTTTTGTAAAGTTCACAGGCCACAGGCAGAGATTCAGCAAGCAGTATCTGACCCACTGAAAAAAAGAAAAAATACATCATTAAAGGTAAATTTTATATTTTAAAGAGAGTCCAGCTTATGTTTGCTGCTCTTTTTCAAGGTAAATGGCTTACAAGAAGCAATATTTTATAGCCTAAGAAGCGAACCTGAGATTGGCCGTGCAATAATGTATGCATGTACTGTTTTAAAGAAAATAGTAAAGAATAACAGCAATGAATACAAACACAGAGCACTCTCTTATAGGGTTTTTTTTCCTACCTTTACTAATACCTTTGTAATTATACTAACCAACCCTCAAAAAATAAACATCTTCCATTGCATTTTGGAAATGCAGATATAGCAGGATTATATCTATGCATAAATACTATCATTATTATTATTATAGTTAAAATTCAGTCTTTTCGAACAAAAAATAATTTTAATTAATCTCAACTGACCCAAGAACTACATATATTTGTAAGATCAATTGTTAATCACACTCAGTGTCTAGAAGCTGTTGCATTAACACAGCTGTCTGTCCCCTATGCACAGAGATGGTTTGTATCCCCAACTACATTAACCCACCAGAAGTCCTTCCCATCACAGCTGACTTTGGTCCCACTTGACTGCAACAGCTCCAGAGGAAAGCAAAATCCTAGTAAATGCCTCTCACCTCTTCCAAAGCACCTGGCAGCCTTTCTGGATTAGGCCAGCACCAGATGGGGGGGACACACCGAGCTCAGACACAAGAGGTTTGTCTCCCCTTTCCCTCTCACTAAACATGGTCTCCTCAGTGGCCAACTGATAATCCCTCCCCCAAGGTGCTCAATACAAACTTACAAGCTTAAAATAATTTTAAATGTTCTTTAGCCTATTTTAAAAATCCCTTTATGAATTGCAGAGTGAGCGTGTGAAGTAGACAAAAACAACACACAGACTGTAAGTACAGCAGACAGGCAAACAGCTGATTTCTAAATCCAGCAATGGGATAACCAGATGCAGTCGTACCTTAATGCCGTCCAGATGATGCTTGAGATGTTGTATTAAATATCAGAACCTCCAGCTAGGGGTTTGGGGTTTTTTTGGCCTCTTCCACCTTAGCACAATCCTATACATCCAGAACAAGAGTCAAAATTACTTGCAGATCACCTTTCCCAACTTAACAACTGCTTTTTATAGTTAAAAGCAATAAGCTTTATTTCTGCCTTCCCATCACACTTCTAGCCAGTCCCACATGGCTCCATTTGTACTCAGAGACCCCACTGAGTGCCCACCCTGCACACCTACATCCCAGAAAAGCACCAGCTAAAGCTTCTTCTCCAGATCACGTTGCTCCCCAGAAAAAAACAGTCTCTGGCTGTTGGAGACAACACAAAGGAAGAGATGAACACTACTGTTCCCGTCAGAAGTAATTTCGAGAAATCAGGGCAAAATTCACTCTTTGAGCACTACCTTCTCCATCTGTAGAGCATCCCCAAGGAAATTAAAAGTCAAACTAAACCACAAAAGACAGCAACAAATAAAATCTGGGAAAGGACTACACTCTGAAAAGTGCAAAGTTTACTTTTACCATTTGTGGCTATAACTCAGCAGGGAACAAGCATGCTGGAAAACGAAAATAACTTTGAGTCAACAACTGAATGACTGATGACTTTGCAATGTACACACACATCCAGAGGGCATTGCCTGCTGGGTTTCAGAGCGTTCCTCCCTTCTTGCTGATCTCCCTGTGCTCGAGCCAAGGAATTTGTGCAAAAAAAAAAATTCAAAGTATAATTTCAAAAAACATTGATTGGGGTGATGTTGCAAGAGCAGAGTGAAGACTTTGGAATATAAACCCCTTGCCTCCATGCCCTCCCAGCTAGCCTCAGTTGCTCCTGGTTAAGCAGCTGCAAGGTGCATGCAGTGACCGTACCAAGGCAAAAG